TCTGGAGTCTCCCAAGTAGTTTGAATTTCTCAACCTTTATGAGGAGTGGAAAGGTCAGAAGCTCACTTACCCTGGTGGCATTTTAGCCGGTGCTAAGGACGGTAAGGAAAACCGCAGCAATTCAGTCTCAGGGGAAAGGATTACCTGGGGCCGAGCTCATCCTCGCTACGCCAGACAAAGTCCCCAAACTTCTCGTAGTGGGAATTGTAATGATGCTGGACCCGGGAAAGCATGGAAGCAGAGACCTCCATAAGGATGTTGTAGGCGGTCTGTTGCTCCTTCCCACTGGTGTAGCCATTGTACAGGTTGTAGATCTTATCGGCTATCTCTGGAAAGCAAGCAGAGAAGACACAGCTGAGCGGGGGAACCATGGAGTAGAACATCACACCACGATCAGTTTTTCGTTCTATGGTTCTCCTATTCTCCACAGCACCTGAAGGCAGAAGGAGAAGCAACGGATGGAAGCTAACCAAGGAGAGAAGCCATCTAGAACGAAGGAGAAACTTCCTGACAGTGAGGACAATTAGCTAGTGGACGGCCGGCCGTGAGAATCAAGGTGGCTCAAGATATGTTTACTGAGAACTAAAGGCATTGTCCCATAATAATTCTGACTTATAATTGGACAGCGTGACCTGCACTAATAAGGGGAGGAGAGAGGCTTCTCTACTTTTAATAGAGCAATTTACGGCGCGGAAATAACCAGATCTGGTTTTCCCTTCACCTGTGCTGAAGTGATTCACTCAATACCGGATGTTTTTAAGAAGAGACTGGACTGCCATTTGTCTGAAATAGGATAGGGTTTCCTGCCTGAGTAGAAGACCTCCCAGATCCCTTCCAACTGTTATTCTATTCTATTCTATTCTATTCTATTCTATTCTATTCTATTCTATTCTATTCTACTCTACTCTACTCTACTCTACTCTACTCTACTCTACTCTACTCTACTCTATCTTCTATTCTATTCCACTCTATTCCACTCTATTCCACTCTATTCTACTCTACTCTACTCTACTCTACTCTACTCTACTCTACTCGATTCTTCTATTTCTATTCTATTCTATTCTAATCTACTTTATACTCTACTCTATTCTATCTTCTATTCTATTCCACTCTACTCCACTCTACTTTAATCTATTATATTAATAATAATAATAATAATAATAATAATAATAATAATAATAATAATAATAATAATAATAAAGTTTTGCATTAGAGATTGGAATGTCTCAGCTGTGTTTATTTGGTTGGGTTCCTCCGTCGGAATTTTGACACTCCTGCTTGAACAGGGGGTTGGACTAGAAGACCTCCAAGGTCCCTTCCGACTCTCTTATTCGGTTACATTCTGTTCAACTGAGTCTAATTGATCAGATTTTATTTTATTTTATTTTTAAAATTCCCTTCTATGAAAGAAAAAGAAACACGGAGAAATTCCAAAGCACCAGATGAAAGCTAGTTGTTTCATGTACAAAGCGGCCGAGGGATTGCTACTCATCCATTCTCCCGGTTGCTAAAAAATCCTGGAGGGGTTGAAGTCCACACACACATCTTAAAGTTGTCCGATTTGGGGAAAAAATTGCTCTAGAGACTCTACATCCCAGAAATGCTTCAGCGTGGCTACGTAAGAAACTCCGGAAATTCAGGCAAAATCAAGATGCGGTTGGGAGCCCTTTGGAAGCCAGATTTGGTTAACAAAGCATTCACCTTCTGCTTTGCTGTCATCCACCAGTGGACAGGCCGTTCTTAGCGTGATGGTGCTGAGTTCGGAGTGCCTCCCACGAGTGTCTACAGCGTAGAGGGTAAATCTGCAAGAGAAGATACCCATCAGGAAAGAATAAAGGGCTGGAGGAACATTTCCTTTTTGGAGGGCTCTTCCAGCACCAAGCAGAGGAAGAGGCTTCATCCAGAGAAGATGTAAGCATGGGAGGTCATGATCTGGGCTTCACCCTGCTCCATTGTTTCATGTCCTAGACCACTGCTCAAGGGTGGAAAGGGAAAAACCAATGTAATGCGTAAAAATACGGGAAAAGACCAAGTGTGCCTAGGAAGAGTTTATGGTGTGAAAAGACAAGGTTTCTCTCTTCTTTTTCTCTCTCTCTTTCTCTTCTCTTCTCTTCTTTCTCTGCCTCTCTCTCTTTCCTCTCTCCCTCCTTTTTTTCTCTCCCTCTTTCCTCTCTCTTCTCTCTCTCTCACTCTCTCTTCTCTCTCCCCCTTTTCTTTTTTCTCTCTCTCCCCCTCTCTTCTCTCCCTCTCTCAGTTTCTCTGTCTCTTTCTCTCTGTCTCTTTCTTCTTCTCTTTCACTGTGTGTCTGTGTGTGTCTGTGTGTGTTTGGGTGTGCACAAGAGAGAAAATTGTGCAATCTCTGTGAAATATCCAGTGGTTTAATCTTCTCCAAAGTTCAGCTTTCTAACAACAAGGGACATTTAATTGCATACTCCTTACCTACTCTGTAGGGGGGGGGGTGCCTCTTTTCTAGCCACTGTGATACAAAATAGATATTTATACAACTATTATTCACCAAAGCCACAAGAATGCATTTCCTCCTATGAATAGCAGCTTGGCACAATTAGGAAACAGTAAATCAACAAATCAAGCATGCCGTGACAGAGTCTGTCTGTCTATCATGTCTCTCTGTCTGACTCTGTCTGTCTCTATCTATCACCTGTGTCTGTGTGTCTGTCTGTCTGTCTGTCTGTCTGTGTGTCTGTCTGTCTATCTATCTATCTATCTATCTATCTATCTATCTATCTATCTATCTATCTATCTATCTATCTATCTATCTATCTATCTATCTATCTATCTATCATCTCTCTCAGTCTCTATCTATCTATCTATCTATCTATCTATCTATCTATCTATCTATCTATCATCTCTCTCAGTCTCTGTCTGTCTGACTCTATCTATCTATCTATCTATCTATCTATCTATCTATCTATCTATCTATCATCTCTCTCAGTCTGTCTCTGTCTGTCTGACTATCTATCTATCTATCTATCTATCTATCTATCTATCTATCTATCTATCTATCTATCTATCTATCTATCTAACTATCTATCTATCTATCTATCTATCTATCTATCTATCTATCTATCTATCTATCTATCTATCTATCTATCTATCTATCTATCTATCTATCTATCTATCTATCATCCCTCTCGAAGGAAAGTAAAATCTACGTGTCCCAGGATAATGTCGTAGGATCCAATCTGAGTCGGTCACCGAAATCAGAGATTTTGTCTTCCGAGTTTTTGGGACTCTTTGCTGGATCCCATCTTCAGGGAATTTCTGTCTAGCAGAAGAGAAGCAGAAGTCCGAAAGCTTGGAAGACAAAGCCTTCCGGTCCCGGTGACTTGACCCAGATTGGATCCTGCAACATTATCCTGGGACACGTAGATTCGCCTTCATCCGTAATCAGCTCCCACTTTGCAACCCAACTGCTTCCTACAATTGGAGCGCCGGCAGTGATTTCAAAATTACTTCTCGGCTATCTGAATCCGTGCTAAAGCGCAAAGCTGTGTTAGGAGGATAAGGAAGGGGAAGACAGGGTCCCTATCTAACCACCCCGGTCTAGAAGAACTTAAAAAGTCAGGAATGGTCCCCAAATCAGGACATAACAGCCTTCCCAGCAACTGTAGAGTTTTAAAAGCAGATGGCTACAGCTGATTCCTGGTCGTTTTAACCTTCTGCTAAATCTTTCCAGCCGTACGCTCGCAGTAAATAAAAGTGGTGACCTGCCCAGAATTTTTAAAGCAGGGCCCAGTTTATTTTATTTGTTTTAAACTGGAACAAGCCAAAACATGCGATTAGGCGTACCAAAAAATAAATAAATAAATAAATAAAAAGCTCATGATTGCAATGTTTGCTCGTCCAAGTTCTCCGCTCCCTTTTCTTTTTGGTAACGGCGGGAGCCCCACGGATTGCACAATTAAGGCTTGGCGAGCCGTCCACCCAAGCGTGAGGGTGCTCACGAGGGAGAAGCCAACGCACTTTCCAACTGAGCAGAGACCAGCACGAAGACGGCAAAACAAATGGCCAATGCATATGTCAACACGTATTACACGTTCTGAGGCTTGGATGGGGAACCGTTCCCCTCTTCAAGCATTGAGCAGTTAATTATTAGTAGTAGAATCTACACAAAGAGGATTAATGCCATTTTGGCAAGCCAAAACAATACATCCATACTTTTCTCTCTCCCTTCTCTCTCTGTCTCTCTCTCTCTCTGTGTTCCATTATTTGGGGGCATGTTAAAGTCCACCAATGATAAGCAGAGGAAGATCTATGATTAGGTGATGCCCTCTAGAGAAATCTTCCCCAGCGTATAAAATCTTCCTCACTGCGCCCTTTGCAAACGTTTGAGGATTAGTAGGGAAGGAGAAGTGAAGGTTAAAATAGCCGCCTCCATAACTTAGTAGCTACGGAAATATTCAGCAAAATATCTCAAGGAAGATCTCAACTAAGATGATCCAAGGCCTGGAGACCAAAACATACGAAGAACGGCTGCGGGACTTGGGTTTGGCTAGTCTAAAGAAAAGAAGAAATAGGGGAGACAGGATAGCAGTGTTCCAGTATCTGAGGGGCTGCCACAAGGCAGAGGGGGCCAGGTTGTGCACCAAAGCACCAGAGGGAAGGATGAGAAACAATGATTGGAAATTGATCAAGGAGAGAAGCAACCTGGAATTAAGGAGAAACTTCCTAACAGTGAGGACAATCAACCAGTGGAACAGCTTACCCCCGGAAATTGTGGGCGCTCCATCTCTGGAGGTTTTTAAGAAGAGACTAGACAATCACCTGTCTGAGATGGTATAGGTTCTCCTGCTTGAGCAGGGGGCTGGACTAGAAGACCTCCAAGGTCCCTTCCAGCTCTATTCTATTCTAAGGCACATTTAGAGTTGCGTGGCGTTGCGTCAGTTGCCCGATTCCTTCCAACTTGAAGCAGCGAATACATTTCGCCAGACTTCTCCAGAAGACCAATCTATGGGGGGGGGTGCGCAAAAGAGGCCGTGCAACAGCCACATTTCTGCATGTCAACATCTTCACGGTTTTAGGTGGCCCCGGTGTCTCCTTTAACCCTTGAAAGTGCAGAGATCTCCTTTTGCATAGTGGTAGGCCTGGCCCTGGCTTTTGAAAATGCAAAACCATTAGCTCTGCCGCTCCAAATTTAGGATGAGATACAGTTTACATTCTGCACAGTCCGTGGCTGGCATGTCCTGGGTTCCGAAGGTCAATTGTAAATGAGTCCGGCCACATCAAAAGATTTATAACAGTCCCAATCACCCATCTGGGCCGCCTGAACCCTGGAGGGAAATTCTTGGGTTGACTTTTGACGCAATCTTTGGGTTCCACAACAGACGAGATGTTGTCTGTGGATCCGAGTGGCCTTTTTTCCTGGAGGGGGATGAGTTCCTTCAGTCTCAACCGACACGGGGGGGAGGCTTCCTATTTATACAAATATTTGAAATGGTTTTTAAGAGTTTGCAAGCCTTAGAAATCAAACTGGACGGGGCGGGGAAGAGAGAGAGAGAGAGAATCCTGCAGGAAAATGTGATTCCACAAAAAAAAATGTGCTGCCTCTGACAGAGAAAACATCTCTTTGCGGGAGCACCACAAAACACAAAACATTGCAAAAGCCAAGAACAAGTTACATGGTTAGATGGGGAAAGGAATGTGGGATTTTTGATGCTTCCAGAACACCAAGTTACCCCAGACCACCTCGGGTTCACAGTGAACTTGTCAGGGGAGACATATTTGAGGGGCTGTCACGGGGGAGGGGGGGAGAGGAGGGGGTTCAACCTATTCTCTAAAGCACCTGAAGGCCAGACAAGGAACAACAGGTGGAAACTGATCAAGGAGAGATTCAACCTGGAAATAAGGAGAAAATTTCTGACAGTGAGACCAATCAACCAGCGGAACAGAAGTTGCCTTCAGACGTTGTGAGATGTTGTTCATCGCTGGAAGTTTTCAAGAAGAGACTGGACTGGCATCTGTCAGAAATGGTGTAGGGTCTCCTGCTTGGGTGGGGGGGTTGGACTAGATGACCTACAAGGTCCCTTCCAACTCTATTAATTCTAATTCTAATTCTTTGAGCTGAGCAAGGCTGGGAGGAATGCAGGAGGACTCTTTTGAGGATCCAATCCGAAAGTCCACATAGAGTAGAGTAGAGTAGAGTAGAGTAGAGTAGAGTAGAGTAGAGTAGAATGAGAATAGAATAGAGTAGAGTAGAGTAGAGTAGAGTAGAGTAGAGTAGAGTAGAGTAGAGTAGAGTAGAGTAGAGTAGAGTAGAGTAGAATGAAAATAGAATAGAATAGAATAGAATAGAATAGAATAGAATAGAATAGAATAGAATAGAATAGAAGCAACGGATGGAAACTAAGCAGAGAAGCAACCTAGAACTCAGGAGTAATTTCCTGACAGACCAACTGATCAAGTGGAATGGCTTGCTCCAACGCCGGAGGTTTTTAAGAAGAGATTGGACAACCATTTAACTGAAATGGTACAGAGTTTCCTGAACGAGCAGGGGGTTGGACTAGAAGACCTCCAAGGTCCCATCCGCCTCTGTGACTCCGTTATTCTGTCTCTGTTTCTAATGAACTACTCTGAAGAACCCCAGATTATTTTGTACGGCAGGAAAAGATAGTTTTGGAAGAACGGTTGACCAGTCGCCTTCCTCAAGACATGGATGGAAGCTTGAGCTGACATTGCCCAATTAAATCCTCTCCCTTCGGAATCCAGAGAAGGATTTCCACTGAATTTGGGAACTGATCCTCCTGAACAGTGTGGCTTTATGGGTTTCACCCCCCCAAAAAAA